TTTCGAAGACGCATGGAATACTTGTAGTGAAAGATCGACTAGTTGAGTAAAATTGAGAAAACAAAAAAAACTGAAGGAAGTGCCGAAGGGAGAGTGCATTGCCTCTGTAGGGAATGATCCAAAGATTGCAATACATCCATGATTTTAGGAGAAGTCAATCAAGCTAGTGTAAGAAAAGTTTTGAATTTACGGAATTTGTTAGAGATAACTCAATGATTCACTCTACTGTGTGTTTGACTCTATCTCGAAATTTTTCTGATACTTTAGCTTGCTAATTCTCTTCTTCTCATTAAATAAGCATTTATTTGACTGCTTGATGTAAGAGTACATGAGAATCACTCTCACGTTATAAGGAGATGGATGTCTATAAACAGAATAACATTTGCTTTGCATATGGATGGAGCCCACGTGCGTGTTTTGAATTGGAGAGTAAGCGAATCAATCACCTTTTGCTTAAATTTGCAATAAACCGCTCTAACATTCTCAACTTCGTCATGTTAATCTTCTGTATTCCAAACTTCTGTCAGATACTTCATCGTTTCAAATTTGTCATAAAAATTAGCGTCGGATAGATGGCGGCTAATGGGCAATCTCCCGCCTCTAAGGGTGTAGTCAAGGGAAAGTGCAACTAACCTATCATGCTCGCCGTCTCATCTCATCTGAGAATAAGTTGTCGCGAATTATCGTTTTTTTTTTGCACTTTTGTAGTGATATAGTTTACATGGATATGCATTGCAGGATAGGGCCATTTTCCTGCAATGGGATGTGCGCCCTCCGGCCCTCAAGACGGTGGACAAAGTCTGGACGAACGATTCGCTGCACCACCACCGCTGGCAGTGAGCATTGGTAGTGGTGTGAGAAGTGGTGACGGCCTACAGCACCACATCATATTCATTTTTGGTAGGAATGTGTTATGATGGATGTCTTTAAAAATGATTTAGTATCCTACTACAGAAAAACTTCAGGTGAACTCAACTACAAATTTGCAAAAAATTGTGTTTCATTTGCAATACATTTACATTCGCACATAACGTAAG